ACTACTACTACTACTACTACATATTATGATCATACTTATCATCATGCCAATGCCCTGTTTCGCCCCGGGCATTATCTTCTTCTACGTCTTGATGTTCGTCTTCGTTACAAAGGCTGGCAAACAAGCATGAGCGAGCTATTCGGGTTGAAGGCTCACAGTTGGGACCTCACAGTCTACAGTCTAAAGGCCCAACGTTTTGACCTTGAGGGCTGAGGAAGTTAGGCTTCTGGGTTCAGGCCTCATGATTCAGCACTACTTTGTTCACAAGATTACGGGCGTTCACTGTTGCAAATACCAAGCCGCACAATTTTCGGAACTCCCACACAGCCTTCGCGTAGCACCCGCCCTCGATGTTGAAGATCTTGGCTGGCTTGTCTTTATAGTGTGGGGCAGTGTGGGCATCTATTCAGCTTCTGAGACTAGACACACGTTCATGTGTATCTGAGATATCATGGCATTCGCTCAACAAGCCGTACTCAAGAGGTAGATACTGTAAGAAAAAAATTGGACTGATCATGGGGTCCGACACTTCATCTTGACCGACTTCACGAAAACCTAGCATTCTTGGGGTATAGTATAGTATACTATAGAATAGTATGGTATAACAAAACATAAATATAGTTGGACTCGGACATCGTTCTGTTCTTCTTTGGCTCTGGGACTTCGAGCCAGGACCCCGGCACCCTTACTGGTCCAGGCATGCTCATCGTCGCCGATGAGGAGTCGGTTTTCATCCGCAGATCTTGGAGGCTCCGGGCTGAGAGCTTCCCAAGTTCAGGGTCGCGGTCTACGGTCGAAGTTCACGCTCAGGTTGCGGGTGTTGAGTTCTGTTGTGGGATTAAGCCTAGGTTGCTCAAGCTCTGAAGACCAGTAAAATTTAAAGGTCACGGGCTTCTGCGCACATGCAAACTAGGTGCCATCACCCATTAGTGAACATCACACTACATGATTATACCCTTCATCGTACATGCAAACATATACATCTACATACATATACAAGACACAGGCGTCAACGTATAAATAAACATATCTGTATATATATATATAAATAT